GATCTTTCTGAGGAGAGGCAAACACAGATTTTCCCTGTAAATGAAATATCTGTGGAGGGTCAGATAAATGGGAAAACTGGCTTGAGAGGGCAGAAGTCAAGTGACGGGAGATCCAGTCAGTTCCCAAAAAAGACTTCATTGTCCTATGTGTCAGATTACACTTCTTTCCCTGAGCATTAGCTGAAGCCTTAATTGGAAAGGGTCAGAGACAGACAGAAAGGTGCCTGAACACTTTTTAATCTTCCTTCTTCACTGCATTTCAGAACATGGTATGGACTGTTTTTACCATACTACAGATTAAAGCTGCCTCATGTTTACTTCATACCCCCAGCTCTGTATCAGAAGGATTTTGTGGGAGCTGGGAACTAACTTTGCAGATGCTTCACACCAGCAGGTCAGTTTAAAGTAACTACCTCAGCCCGTGTCTGTGCTTAAACTTGACACCAGAGTTTTCAACCTGAAGTACTCAATTAGCATCATCGAACTGGCTATGGAAAATTTTACATTGAGATGTCATCTGGAATTGATATTCCACACTGGAAAAAATAGAGAATGTGTGTTTCTTTGATGTAAATATTTTAGAAAGTCTAAACACAAAAGGCTGTGTCCAATTCCATCATATTTTGGGTAGACTCTAGCCAAGCATTGAAAAAAAAACCCAACTGGAGCTTCCAAACATTACTTAATAGAAAGCACAATTTTCACATGGTTTGTCAAACTGTATTTTAACTGGACAGAAAGTAGGAGAGACAAACGTGACAAAAGTTAATCACATCGCTTAATCCATGAACATCCCAAGGTGGCGAGAACAATGTAAGAACTTGAAGACAGAGTTTTGTTAAGCTCTTCTACCTAAAATCTGTAGCACAGACCCAATATTTTTTGATTAAGGTCCAATTTAAAAATGCATTAACTTTTTAATTGAGAACATGGCTGGGAATCAGCAGTTCTGATGATCTTAGCATAGCATGGGAAATAATGTTGGCTAACTAAGCCTTCATTTAAGTGGAAAAAAAATTTTTGCTTTTTTACTTGTGGGCACAGATAGGCTATCATTCAAATACTGAAAGTCTTGAACTCTCCCGTCCAAATGCATGCAAAGCAGGATGTCAAAGCAGGATGTCAAACCTCTTAAGGCTCGGGAAAAATCTTGTCCCTTCAGGACTCCAGCGCTCCCTGGAACTTGCAGGCATTTAAGTGAACCCTGTAGGCTTCTGTCAATCTTCCTTTTCTTTACTACTTTTCTTTACGATGAGCAGAGCTCTCATCTCATTTTCCCCAGCTCCCTGAACACCTGCTGATAGCACCCTGTTTACCAGAAAGCTTGCCAAGGTACCCACTAGCTCCTACCAGACAATAGCCTGGGGCCCACAGCAATGAGGGGAAAGATAATCCCCACTCCTCAGGTACAGGAGTTGTTTCAGGACTGAAAAACTAAACAAGCCACTCATGTTGTTTAAGGTTTCTTGTCATGGAATCCCATGGGATAGCTGTGGAGAAAGCATGTGTGGTGTCTTCTTTCTTGATCCAAAGTGGATGGAAAGGATCTGCAAGCTGAGAGTCTAATCTTGAATCCACTGGAAGAGCTTTGGATCAGGGCAGTGCGCTGTTTGTTCAACAGCCAGGATCCATCGCCGAGGTTTCTAAAACCAAGCTGTGACAACTATCAATCTAACCATTATATTTTTGATACAAGCTCATGGAGATGGATTTGTTTTGAGATTTCAGGTGAATTTTGAACAGCTCATAGATGCAGCCTCAGTACAGAGAAGTAAATCACGCAACTTCCACCAGCTTCAGTGGGAGCTGAACCTCAGGTTCCACCTCTCAAACTCCAGAAGTGTAACATCGTGTTTACTTCAGGGCCCCCAGGAAACCTGCAATAACAGTGCTAATCTTGAATTGCAGAGCTTGTCCACCTTGACAGTCTTTCATGGAGGCTGACATCTCCTTCTGCCCCCACATACTCAGAGGCTCGGAACAAGGTAAGTTTCCCCACATTTGAAACTCATTCTTGGCCTCTTACTTTACTGCATAATTTTCAATGACTTTTGCCCCTTTTCTTTCTAATCTAGGAAGGCACCAGAATTGATTGTTAAAATCATGGGGTATGCTGTGATTGTGGTCGGAATGGGTTTGTCCTCTCTGGCGCAGTTTTTGGGTGAGGATTATTTATTACAGCTTGTTTTTTTTTCCATCTGCTGGTTGTAACCAGGGATTATTTAGGCTGAATTCAAAATCTGCCACAGACATTCTTTTGTCATCTCGATTGTTGTTCTTCTGTATTTAACTTATGTAAGTGCGCACCTCACAAGAAGCAGAAAAACTGGGCACTCCCTTTAACACATTCTGTACCACACATAGCCACCTCGCTCTATGGAAATTTTTGTATTTCAAGTAGCTGGGAGAGAAAAACCTTCCTAACTTCCTTGAAGTGGGTTTTACTGCATTAAAGACAGAGAGAGACTGTCAAATCCTGTTTCATTTTTAAAGTTAACTGTAAGGTTTTAATTAGGTCCTCTGAACAAGCAATCTGTGATGCTTAATGGTTGAGAGTGAGCAATTGTACACGATCCACTGACTCCCATCATTAAGTTCGGTTGACAAAGGCCAACACAACTCTTTACTTTTTAACTTTGTCACCATTTACGTTTGAGGTGAAGATGTTAATATGGAAATTTTGTGAGCTGGGAATGACTATGAACTCTATCATTGTAAGTTACGACCTTTCATCTAAGGCCAAATGTAAAGGCAATTGCAATTGTTCTATGACTCAAGGCCAGCACACAGCAGATGTATGAAATTTGGAATGTTAGACATAAACTTTTATTACCAAATTATAAATAATTTCTACCACTTACATTGTTCACCTTTCAAGTTCATTGTGATTAAAACACAAGGGCAGCATCTCGCTGATTTCAATGAGTTATACAGCTGAAAAAGCTCTGTCATAGCACACTATGAAAGGATAAAGCAAAGCAGTATTTAAAAGAACCTGCTTATAACAAGGTATGCGATATTTTAGATCAAAATCCTTTTTCCATCTAGATGACAGAATCATTAGCTAATTAAGCCTTATTTTCACTCTTGAAGCTTTGTAATCTTTAAGGAGTTCACTGAATGTGGATTACTTAAATCCTTTGAAGACCACCTTTCCTGAGGTCGGTGTGCTTTTGCCACTCTGGAAATAACACATTCTTTAAGTTGCCTAATAACAGATGTGGTGACATAATCTTCCTGCATGTACAAGATGGGAATTGTCTTCCGAGGTGCAAATCACGCTATGCCAAAATGCTCAGCAGCATATGGCTTTCTGCATGAAGGTTAATTTACCACTAAGAACAGCATATGAGAATGCTTTGAGACCTGTGGCAAACCAAGGGCAAATTACCTATGATTTGGTTTCATGATTTGGTCTCAAACCATGAAAGAGGGGAGTTAAGGATACAAAACTTGCCAATCTCAATGCCCATGATTCAAAATAGATGTATTTGTTAGGTTAATAGGGTAAGAAGCAGGAAAGTAGAAGTATCTTGTTAACTGACAACAAACAACTGAAGTATCCCCACACAGAAAGTGTACCTAAGTGTATGCCTAAGCTAGGTAAAAAGCAGCCTAGCGAGCAGGAGGTAAAATAGCTCATTAGGTTCTGAAGGCTAGCAAAACAAAACAAACTCTGAAGACAAACTCATAAGAAATAATTCAAAGAGGAAGGCTCCCAAATCACAAAATGTCCCTAGCTGGATTTGGAAATTCGTCATAAAAATCTGCCAACCCAGGTATGAGAAATCTATTTGCCCAATCTTTACTATGGAAATTGGTAATAATGAAAACTAAAATACTCTCTTATCAAAATATAATGCACTGAAGCCAGTGATAGTGGCAGCAATATAAAACTTTGCAAGCCTGCTCCCTGGAGTAACTACTTTAGTTTCTTTTCTGCTTCAAGTACTGATACAATCAAATGTACTTGGATGCTCCTGATTAATGTGATGGTTTCTTGGAAACATGGGCACAACATGGCCCAACTTCCCTGGCCGTGCCTGCACAGTCAGGTGACCTAGGTCAGGTTTGCAGGCCTTGCCTCTTAATGCCTTTTAGCTTGAGCTTTGGGGGCAAAGTTGTTACCAGATACGTGTTCAAAAAGAGACGATAAACAGCTCTGAAAGGAAGAGAGAATACAAATCCATGTTCTGAAGAGCAATGCTACATTTTCTTCATATCACAAGACTTAAAAATTGCACCAAGATATTAAATCAATAATGGAAGAATGAAAAAAATACAGTCCTGAACCTTTCACAAATGATTAATTCCTGTCACAGCACTAAATCAGTTATAAAAAATAAGACGATATTTTCCAAGACATCAGGGGTTAGCTGGGGGAAAGGTGAAAAGATGGGTGAGAAGATAAAAATTTGACTACTTCTTGTTCCATATTCTTTCCAGGTGGTATCTGAAAAAAAACCCTTAGCTTCTGTGTTCCCTCATTCCTCTGTAGAATGAAGTGAGTGACACCTTCTTGCCCAGCTCTAGTAAGGACACCAACACCAGCTGCTGTGAGATGCTCACTTGTTTCTTCAACAAAGCCCATCTGAGACAAGATTTTGAGTGAAGAGGATCTCAGTATAGCAGAATATAATTACATATGGGTTGTAAAAACTCTCCGTAAGAAATTGATGAGATGCTATTTTGTGCGTAAGTCATAGGGCATCTCCGTGAAGAGCCCAGAGTTTAGCTAAGGGAGAGCTGGCTGGTCTCTCGCACCACAGCCCGGTGGATGGGGGTCACATCATATAGCAGCAGCGCTTTTGCACACCACAGCGCTCAAACACACGGAGTGCCCCGAGCCACAGAGCCCACACAACGTCACCGACCCGGGTGCGAAACGCGACCCAAGAGCTGCTGAGCCTGCACACACCACCAGCCAACGGGAGCACCGCCTGCAGCCCGCCCACAGGCCCGGCCCCGCTCGTTCTGAGGCGCGGCGCGGTGCGGTATGTCCCTGCCGCCGTGCCGTAGCCGGGCTGGTGGTGATTGGGCACTTAGCGCAGCGGGCAGCGAGAGCCGGGAACGGGCGCAGGAGGAGTCGGCGGGTGAGTGTGGGGCGGGCCCGGGCCGGGCTACGGAGAGGTGGCCGGGGACAGGGGTCCCGTGTGGCGTGTGTACCCCGTGGGGCCGCCTCTTACAGCCGTTGTTGCAAGCCGTCTTGTTAAGCAAGCGACAGTCTGGTCTCGCGCTTGTGGCTTTTGTCCGGGGCGTTCAGCGGGGCACGTTTCGCGCCGTTTAAGCTGGTTTTGAACGGGCAGCGTTCGCAGCCGCACGTAACGCCAGAGTGTGTGCGACTTGGGCGGGCGGCGCTGGGGCAGCACCCGCGGGCCAGACCGTGCTTGTTCCCCGGGAAAGCTTCGGGTGTGGAGGGCTGCGCTATCAACCCCGCCGTGCCGGCATCACAGGACTGGGACAGCGTGTGTCGGTAGGAAACCAGCGACGGTCCTTGCACGGCTGGAGTAGCTCATTTGCCACAAAAGCGAGCAGTAGCAAGCTGGCACTGTGTTGGGTGTCGGCACTAACACCGTTTCCTACCACTGATTTGAAATGCAGAGCGGCTGGTAGACGCAGTGACGTTCAAACAGAAGGTAAGCAATACAGAGAGAGAGAGAGAGCCTCGTTCCAAGCCTTCTGAAGAGCAGACTTCTGAAGGACAGCGTCTTTCAGGTCTGTACGTTTGAATCACAGGCCTTAATTCTAAGATTAGTCCAGCTTAATTGATTCAATTGAAGGCATCCTTTCAAATGTATTTGCTCGTATGTGTGAGCTGAGTTCAAAAATCCTATTGCTGTTCTAGCACAGGCTTCTGTTTATAGAGCACATACTGGCTCCTCACTCCACCCCCTAAAGATATCAATACATACTATGGCTTAGCTCTAATTTTAGTAAAACCATTCTAGTGTTCCAGAGATGATGAGACCTTTGGCTCTGTTGGGTGTTTAAAGATATGCAATGTGACAAACAAGGATTTTTATTAGTAATTCCAGAACTTTTAAAACTGCCAAAAGGAAAGTTTAATGCTGTGACTCTAGGACAGTCTCTCTACCTTCATCTTTACAGCTTTGCTTTTACCTCATTAGATGTTTTCTACTGAAAGTATTAAGAGCCAGGGGACTGCCTGTCTGTACTGTTTAAAGACCATATGTAAGCCTGTTGCTTATCCATGTTTTCTCTCACTTTCCAGCTTACTACAGAAGCTAAAGATGAGCCTACGGAAGCAAACCCCCAGCGACTTCCTAAAACAGATCATTGGCAGACCAGTTGTTGTAAAATTAAATTCTGGAGTTGATTATCGAGGTAAGTTCTCCATTTATCTCACTGAGTACAATAATTGTTTGGGTAGGCTGGAACAGATGCCTTGCATTTGAAAAGCAAAGAAAGGGAAGAAGAGAATGAAACCACCATGAATGCACTCTGGGAACAAAAAGGTTAGAAAATACTGCTTTTGTGGACTACTGAATGGTAGCTTAAGAAAAATAAACAGTGCAGTTTTAATTTTGGACAAACAATTTTTGCTCTTATATTGTTACACAGAGCACTGAGGATTAGAGAAAAAGAGTTCTGAGTTCTGTTTGGTTTATTTGATGTATTTTAACTTTGTGAGCAGTCAGTTTTTCCTATGTGTGAAACAAAGGAAAGAAGAACATAAAGGAAAATAATCCTTAAACCATTACAAGTTGGCAGAAGAGCTTTAATTCCTGATTATTTAATGGAAGATTTTACAATAACACTTCTGAAAAATGAGAGTGTGTCCTAGAGGAGGATTCTCAGACTGGAGTTCTCCCCCTCCCTGACTACAGCCAATACACTGTATTTCCAGTTTTAATGCCAGGTAAAAAAATCAGGTGTTTTTCAAACAGAGGAAGAAAGTTTGTAGTAGTATTGTCTGTGCGCAACACACAGTCAAGATTGAGATAACTAATGCAGCTTTTAAAAAGTTGTGATGTGTGCACAAATATCAAATCAGATTGCATTCTCTGAGCAGTTCTTTGCGTCTGTTAATCCCCACATCCAGTTCCTTAGCTGAATAATCTGTTTGTTGATCAGGCAAGTTAAATTTGTAGATGGACATGGTTCTGACCTTAAGGGTGGGAGTAGGCACCAAGGAGTAATTTTAAGTGAAAAAATGCCATCATGCTGCCAGCACATAGGAAGTACTGTGTGAACAAGGTACAGCCTTCAACAGGGGCTATGAGAAGTGAGAACATAAATACTTCTCTAAAATGAGGGCTACTCAAATGCAGATTTTCCTGATGAGTATCTTGTATTACACATGGCAGAGATTTCTCCTTTAGTTGCATGGATTAAACAGCATATTTTTTTTGTGGTAATATTTCAGTTAGAAAATCCTTTGTCAGTTGACGATGACATCAAACTTTGTTTACATCAAAACAGAGACTTGCAGCCAATATTCTAGATCTTTAGGCATGAAGATAAATACAAAAATGTGTATGGTGTCCTGTATTAAAAGGGCTGGGTTTTTTTAGCTATATACTTCACAAGTTTTGATGAAAGCTCAATTTATATAGCCTTGTCCTTAGGTTATCCAGTTACACTATGTCACAGATTCTTTTCAGGTGTGTGACTTAAAACACAATCGAGAAGGGACAACTTAAACTTTCAAAGTGGGAATTGTAAATCTTTTGCAAGTTATATCTTAATGATTTCTTTTTAACCCCTACTCTTACATCATCTAATAAAGTTGCTACTACAGCGCCTGGGGCTCCTCACTCTCAGCTTAGTTCTTTGAAGAATACTCTGATCTACTGATTTATCTGGCCAAGCTTGGGCTTTTAGGTTATGAAGATACAGGTTTTTTTTTTCAGTACTGTTCAAGCACAGTCCATTTTTTGTTTATTTTAAAGAATTTAAGTTGTTTCACTTTTAAATTGTTACTCTTTTCAGGTGTCCTGGCTTGCTTGGATGGGTATATGAATATAGCTCTGGAACAGACTGAAGAATATGTAAATGGACAATTAAAGAACAAGTATGGGGACGCATTTATCCGAGGAAATAATGGTAACTCCCTCTCCTTATATTATTGCTCATTAGAAGATTGTGTTTTCATATTCTGATTTTGAGGAACAGCTGAGGGGTAAGCAAGCTGCCTGTAAGAGTATTAGCTTTATGCTTTCTTGGAAACCGTAACTTTTTACAGTTTTTCTTTTCAGTGTCTATGCTTTTCTGCATTCCTGTGGCACTTTTTGCCTCTGAACTTGAAATTCATTTAGAGAAGCAGGCTCTTTTCTAGCCTTCCTTGGAGCTTATTTCCTCCTTCATAGGTAGTTGTTAGCTTTGCCTTAAGTTCTTGGGATTTCCAGCTTTTGTGGAAAAATCATAGCATTAGTGTCTGACACCTGTAATTCTGCTGCTTAGAAACTCTTTCATGCCCTCCTCAGTAATGCTGCAGGGTAGCTGGCTTTATTCTTCCTCTTTTCAGTGTGCATTTGCTGGAGCATAGTTTGGACATAGTTTGACTATGAATATAATAAATACTGAAGCAAAGTAATATATAATGTGTAAATTTGATAGCGTTTTTTTTTTTAAGCTGGACTTAAGAGTTTCCTGACTTTGTGCTGAATGCGAGTTATTACACTGCCATTTTACAAGCCATAGAAATAAGGTATTTTAAATAAACAGCCTTCTGCACATTATTTGCCAGGCCCTTCATATGTGCTGCTTTTTCCTTTTCACAGTGTTGTACATAAGTACACAGAAGAGGAGGATGTAGATGCCAGAAGGAGGCCGTTTTGTACTTGTGAACCTCTTTGAAATGATGAGCCCTCTTTGATTTGTAGTTGATAATCTACAGATGAAATACGCAAGTGTTTAAATATTTTTTTTTTAAATAAATGTAAACCAGTGTAAACTTCCTGGATGTTTTTGTTTCAAAGCATTGCTTGGTTATGCTGCACAGGAAAAAAATAAAGCAAGAAGCATGTAATAGTGCCACAAGATTAATTCAAAGCAACAGATTGTTTATTTATGCTGTTACAGAAATATGGACTGGAAGATAAGCAGGCATGGAGTTATCACAAATCATAGCCTTATATTGATGGGAAAACAATGTTTTAACTGATGTTGGGAAGGGAAATGATAATGTTTTGGTGACAGTGACCTGTCAGTTTTGGAAAACACAGGGTCACATTTATATGGCAGTCTAGCAACAGTCATCAGGTAGAGTGTTCATCTGGCCAAGAAATGTTGAATTGCAGACTGAGTCAGGGGATGTACCTGTGACACTTCAACAGTTGGAGGTGGGGAAAGAATTGAATCAAATGGAAGAAAAGCCCCAAGGGTGAAAAGAAAGATCTGTGCCAGCTGAGGAAGTCAGTTACAGGTTAAACATTCTCAGTTGTTATGCCAACACAGTGAGTAGCTGCCACACCTGCCTCTGTACCCCTACCCTACCTCACTCAGCTTGTAGTTACCTTTTTTCCTGCACCTCTACCAAACACAATGGACTTCTTCAGTAAAAAGCAATTTTAACTAATACCTAAAGCTACTCTTGAAAACAATAGGAATCTAAAAGCTTTTGTAAACATGCCCTATATATTCTCTTCAGACAGTTCATTTTTTCCCATCACTTCCCCCCCCCCCCTAGTGCTGTCTATATATTCTCTTCTTTATGTACTAGCCAGAAAAGAGAACAAGTGCATTAAGCTAATTGTAAAGGGTATGCATTTACGGAGAAGGAACTTCTGTGCAAGCAGTGGAGTCAGAACTTGTTTGTTCATATTTTGCAACAATACTCCCAGGTGAGTTTCACATGGATACTTATTCCAATTTATATTATCTTTTCTCCTTTTACATGCAGTCAGACAAGGAAAAAAGCAGCCCTGAACGTTCAGGTATTTGAGTGTTACTACACATAATGTCCAGATACTCAGGATGTTTTCTTCTTCTTCAGGACAAAGTTACAAGTTAAGGTAATGTAACTCTTAGTGAGGTTATTTAGCTAATATTTTACAATGAGTTTTCTGACACCCTGCTTTATTCTTTGGGCAGTTTATAGTGCTTCCAGGAACAAAAATACTCCTAGTGCATGGAAGAATACATTGGCCCATTTTTCCCAAATACCAAATCAAGCAGGGACCAGTAACGCATCAGTTATCCAAGGGAGAGAAATGTGGGTTTCGGAATTAAAAATAAATGAAGAATTCAAAATGATTTTGCAGTCAGTAGTTAACCTTCCCACATTAAACACTTCAGAAGCCACTAGAGAACATACAAATACAGATGCTACTTTATAATATGCTTCAGTAATTTATCACTTTCTGACAAGGGTTGAAAAGGGTCCAGAATGTAAATACAAATCACCAACATGCTCTTTTCTAAAGAGCATGTGTGCAGTTTCTCATTCGTCACCTGTATGCAGCTGGCAGGTTACTGTGTGCTTTCATTCTTGGAGACTCTATTTTAATTTAAAATGGGGCTATTTTTTTCCCCTCTTCTCCACTTTTCCTGCCTCCTCCTCCATCTACCCACCTATAGCGACACATTTTGCCCAGACTTCTGTTTACTCTCGAGTTTGCAACACTAACTTTAACTGCAGTTCTTTTTCTACAGCTTTAGTCACACAACATTTTTCAGTTGTAATCTGCTACTTCAGATGATCTGATCACACACTGAACTTAGAGAATGCTACATAGTTTACATGCTAAGCATATGCATACCTTTTTTTAATGTATGCATATTTTAATGTGATAATACATGTATTTAATATAAATGCTTACATTTTTTAATGTAGTCTAAATCGTGAAGTCACTATTCACGCTGCTGTCTGAGGTATATAGGTATATTTGCATTAAAGCTGAGCTGTTGTATATCATACTCCAATTTCAAAGGTAGCTAAAAAACCAAACAATTTCCACAATCACTGACTTTTATATACAAGATTCCTCCCTTAATTCAGTTTTCAGCCCCTGTGCTTAAATCAAGCGAACATTTAAGCTTGACTTCAGTTATGTAGTCCAGTATTTGGATAGTTCATTTTGAGCTGGATATAACATTCATCTTGGATTTGTTTTACTCATCTTTTAGATTTTAACTAAGTATATTCTGTAGGACAACATGCTAGCTGCAAGCAAATCAGACACTGCTCAGACAGTTCTCAGAATATCATGTGGAGCACTATTTAAAGTTTAAGGTAAGGCATCCCATTGTATATGTATGTAGACATCAAAGTACGGTGGTGTATTTCACAAACTCTTGATGCTTAAAAATGACTCAACCTGATTCATAAGATCTTTATCCCATTGGGAGATACAAACACTCTTTCAAACAATACATCTTCATACATCTTCACACACAAAAAAGTGTCTTAGATACTAATGCTCACAGCCTTCATGTTACTTCATTTGCCATATTCTAATGCTCCTGCCCCGTACCTGTGTATAAAACAGTTTTACTGTTAGGCTCATCTAGATCAGGACTGACAACACAACATTCTTGAATAACTTACAAGTTCTTGTCCATCTTGTCTTAGAAGAATGCACTCAAAAATAAGTAATCCAAAACTAACAAAAACTAATTGAATTCCAAAGACAAAAGCTGCATTCACATACATAGTACTTTGAGATCACTTCATGAAACCAAGGCTGTTCAACTGCCACCCCATACACACCCTCTTCCATACATTCACTCAGAGACAGACTCTAGGAGGAGCAGTAACTCTGGGTTTCCTACATCCCCACATCCAGTGTTTCTTGCACTTGAAAAGTCAAACTAATCTCCTTAAAAAAAAAAAAGCAGCACAGCCTAGCCTATAGAAACTAGAGAAAACAAATCTGGAAGAAGGCAGTAAGTAGTCATTATATAGTGGGACAGCCAGGAGCCAGGTTACTTACTACTAAAGCCTGGAGTGCCCATATATAAGGGAGCAGAGCATGCTAGAAAAGCTTTTCTTTGAAGGTATACACTGATGGCCACTCAGTTTTACAGTTTGTTGCTATATCTGGTTCCTAGTTCAAAGGAAATCTAACGTAAACCACTCTTAACATTATTTATTTGAATTCTTTTTCATGATACAATGACAAAACAGCTATAAAGAGCCCTTTTGAGTACAATTGGCTCATTAAGTTCTAAGGGTCTTACTTAGCTCCAAAAAAACAGCTGTGCCCCACAGCTGTAGGTTTCAGCTGTGTCGTTCAGAGTACTCAAGAAAGCATGAAAGTGTTTGCAAAATGGCAGCCTTCAAACATTTGACTGATGGCACCAAAGCAATGCCTGGTCTTTAATATGCCAACCTGTGCCCATGGCCAGCTCCAGCTCCAATTCTATGTCCATTTTGAAAGCAAACAGACTAGAGCCAGCAGTTTCAAAGGTTCCTGCGCCAAACTGTTCTCCATGGCTGAGAAATGGGACAGGAGGAGGAGTTTCCTGAGCTGCTGTATTGATCCTGCCTGAGGGACCCTTGAACATTTATGAGTCAGTGATACACACAGCAACTCCAGGCTGGGCTGAGCTGGGCTGCACGCCCAGCATGGCTTTCAGGTCTCCACTGGGCCACACAGACCCCTTGTCTGCAGGACACCTTCACCAGCTCGATATTAACAGCAGAGCTCGGAGGCAGCTTCCACTTGGTGCCACGATTGCACCACCTGCCTGGCCTTGCCCTTATCTAACAGCAGTGACAAGTCCTCATGAGAACATCCTTAAGAAAGAAGGTTGTTTTCTTGTAAGGAAATTATCAAATAGCTCAAGTGATGGCAAGGGAGAGCTGCTCTCCATGGATGGGGTTGCATCTGCTCTGTGCACTGTGGGAAAATCCATCTGGGCTCGATCCAATGCTGCGTGAGTGTGGGGTGCCCAGCACCCGAAGGGATGTACAATTTACTTGCTGTTTGTATTCCTCATCTTATTCTGTCTTATTAAAGCAATCATTAAGCTATTTGTTGCTGGGCCTTTCTTACTGAGATACAGAAAGAGCCCTGCACCATCTCTCTCCCTTCCCCTCCTCTACCCTTTCCTCTAGTGCAGAATCACTGCCCAGGTTGCAGTAGTTACCAATTAAAATAAAGGATTGTTTTGATGGTGTTTTTTTTTTTAAAGGCTGAATTTGTAAGAGGAGGCTCACACTGTATGTTGCACGTATGTCTTAGGTCATTCTCAGCAGTAAAATTTGTATCCACTGTCCCACTTCAGTAAGTGTGATACAAGAATAGCAAGAACAGTCAACTGGTTAGAAGTGGAAGGACCTGACAATACTTCTGCCAACCTTCTGCCTAACTAGATGTCAGAGAAACATCCTCTTTTCCCTGGTGTCCCCAAACACAGAGCCACAGACATCCCTAGGTCAACCCTAAGATGCTAGTGTGTAGGCACTGTTCTCCATTCTCCCTGTGTGACTACCGCAGGTTTTTACTGCTCTCCTGCTGTGGTCTTTTAGCCACTCTTCTCACAGACTGCTCTTTGTTCTAAAGATGACACGCAATCTTATCAAATTAGATGGGGCTGGCAGCTTTACTGGTTTAATGATCAGTTCCTTGTGATCTGGACTCAACGAATTGTTGCCACTTTGAAACACTCAATCAACCTACCCACTCTAACTGCCCCCAGACTTTCTTCATAGGACTCAGGTGGCCACTAGCTGACCAGGAAGGACTTCTAACTCATTATAACCCTTACTATTTTGTGGTAGCAAAGCAGTTCTCAACCTGTCAGTAAAGCAACCAGCTTGCTCTTCAGTGTCAGAACTGGATTGCTCACATCCATGCTCATATTGCAAACTGATCTCCACTGCATCTGCTCCAAGTCTGCTGTCCCTGTTGTGCCCCAATGATGTGGAGATGTAGAAGCAATAAGCAGGAAAGAGAAAGCTTCTGCATCAAAGAGTCTGGGATGTAACTGGGTTTATAACCCTTCTGTGCCCTTTATTGATGAAATTTCAGTTATATGGTTTATAGCCTATTTTAATTATCAAGTTATTACACAGCATGAACAGTTTTTTCCTAGTGCTA